GTATTGATAAACCGACAGACACTGACATCCCATCAAGTCGTGTCATGACATCCTACAGGACGACTTGTCAGATCTAATAAAGAGAGGTATTAAATGAGAGTACGATTTCATTTAAACATGACTGAGGACACGAGGGACAGAAAGAGAAATAGCCTCTGAACTAAACTTCCTCTTTGATAATATGTTCTTTTTCCCTGCATCCTTACAATTTGATTTCACATGAAGTCAGAACAGATCTGTACATAATATAGAGCACTACACAGAAAAATGTTTAACAAATGACATAAAGGAATGTGAAAGTCCTGCGAACACAAATAACAAACGGACACTGTGAATACAATCACAGGCCATTTTATCTTGCTAGCCCCTCTTAACACAATTTCAACCCTAAAAATAAAATGTTCAGTTCTCTATTGAATATTGGATTTCATTATTCAGTATCAAAGAAGTTTCTCCTGCCTCAAAGAAACTCAAACTGAATCTCAAAGTGTGCGAACTCTGTATGATGCGCCAAATGCTTTATTTAATTTTGTACTGCACATGCATGAACTAAAAAATTGCAAGCCATTATTTTGGAGGAGAAATTGTCAAGCGATGCATTAACATGCAGTGACTCAAGCCCACATCTAATCCGGCCTAGAGTGGGGAAGATGTTTCATAGATGACAGCTATTTCAGAATAACCTACCAGGCAAAAGTAGCATACATTTGAAAATTAAATTGAATAAATAGCTACAAACATTACCATCCAGAAAACCATCACTGAAATACTGCAAACTGTAGGTCCAAACACAACTATCATACCTGTATAACTCATCACCATCGGGGCGGTGGGGTAGCCTAGTGGTTAAAGCCTTCGCTCGTCACGCCGAAGACCCGGGTTTGATTCCCCACATGGGTACAATGTGTGAAGCCCATTTCTGGTGTCCCCTGCCGTGATGGTGCTGGAATATTGCTAAAAAAGCGGCGTAAAACCATACTGACTCACTCACTCACTCATCACCATCAAATACCTGTTTTGTTTGTCTTAAGTCACTATCAAGCCTACCTGAATACTTTTTTTGCAGCTTATCTTCGTACAAATAAAATGACACCTAAATATTATCAATTCAAGGGTCACATTTAACCATTATATATGTCAATGTTTTTGAGCCCTGCGTTCAGCAATATTCCAGGTCTAGCATTGTAGAATGTAAATATTTGCCAAGACAACTAATAGAATGTATGGGCTAATTAGTACTATTCACTGCTGGACACAATAACGTCGTCAGATAACGTTAAGTCATAGTGCCTGAGGTGAGGTGAGGTGAGGTGAGGTGATCTGAAATTGGGTTAAATGTCGCATTGAAGAGTATGTCACTTATAATGCATGTGTGTGTGTGTGTGTGTGTGTGTGTGTGTGTGTGCGTGCGTGCGTGCGCGCGTGCGTGCATGCATGCATGCGAGTGAGCGAGTGTGTTTGTGTGTATCTGGACTAATGTCTGTTTTATAGTTTTATAGTTCTAGCCACATGAGACACCATGCCACATTTAAACATGGACACCCTCCTTCCTGTCAACAATGTACAGATTCCAAGACAAAACAGTCCTAGTTATCTCCCCTAAATACCAAGAACAAGGCAGGGTAACATCAAGTCCCATCAGTTAAATCTTTTGGTATGACACAGCTAAAGAATCAAACCAAATATGCTCCATCCATTAGACAAGTGGTTTTCATAGACCCTGAACACCCTATCTTAATCAGCCCTAAGACAAGCATGATGTACCGCAGGTCAACTTTAATCCAGAGTTCAAAATGGACATCTGGGAGAGAGATAACAGAGTGTTCGGCTTTTATTTCTTACTGGGGAAACAAAGAATTTCTGAAATTCAGACTACAATCAAGTCATGGAAGAACAGATTTACGTATGTGCTTAGATTTAATTAGTGTCTATCAATCTGTCCATACTTTCTTGTGTCCTGTGGTACTCGAAGTTGAAAACACTTGCATTGAGGCCACTCTCCTTCCCTCTACCACAAAAAAATAAGAGACATGGAAAGAAGACATATTTTCGCTGCCATTTCCGAGTGAGTGGTTTACCACCACTTGTAGCAGAAGTATTCCCATTATATCACGGCCAGTCAGCCTCGTGGGGGAGGTAAACCCCAGTGATGCAGGTCTCAGACATTTACCAATTCTGTGGAACCAGAGAACACTGGATTGGTGCAGATAAACCTGCCATTTCAGAGAAATGCCTTGCTGAATATGGTTTTCCTTGTCACAGGAACCATTCCTTGACAATTTGTTTTGTGTCAATACCTTATTTGCTTCTATAAGAGGCTGAGGCTCTCAAACCCTGACCTATGATACCTGGTCATTCTCTGTGTCCAAAAACAGGAACTCTATCAGAGACTGGATCTCAAATACTGTGGCATGTTGGCAATCAATAATGACAATTTACTGCATATGTACCTGTTGAATTACTAGACAATTTAGAATTTGGTATAACAGCGAATTACCACTGTGTTTACAGTAAACAAAAGAATACAAGGGCCCAGTTGTTCAAAAGCCTGTTAAATTTTAACAGATCGTTAAAGTTTAGAGAGCGAAAGCCTGTTGCTCAAAGCTCCGTTAACTTTTAACGGCCCGTTAAGACCAGGTTAACTTAACGTAAGGGGAGTGGGTACATTAGCTCACTAACGTTACCATTAGCATTAGTTCTAGACCTAGCTGCATGGTGACAACATGGTGTTTGTTGTCCAGCATAATGCAGCATTCATGAACATTAGACCACAAAGAAAACCGAAGGAATTCAGATTTAAATTTCAGCATTTTCTTGATACATTGACTGAATTCCATTTTCTTAATCGGTGCTGAAATTTTTTCTTCTTTTTCTTTTCTTACAGTCTGATGTTACTGAGGTGATCATTTGCGATGCCATTTTGACAGGGAATCATGGGACAGTGTGCACGGAATTGTGGGTAATGGTTAGGTCCTTAACAGGCTGTTAACTTCTAATCATACCATTAGTTAACAGCCCGTTAAAAACACCTTCCAGCAACCAATTTTAACATACTGTTAACTAACTTTTCGTTAGCTATTTTACGGGTCGTTAGTGTTTAATGGTACGTTAAAATAACGGTGCTTTGAACAACCGGGACCAGACCTTTAACACATGCAAGGTCAATGACTTCAGTAAACATTTATATAACACAGGGCATCTAGTAGTTTCTTTCTTTGTATGCTGTTTATCACTGCACTCCAAAATATTCCAGCTATATGACAGAGGTCTGTATATAACTGAGGCTGGACCAGACAATCCAGTGACTGACATCATAAGTACGGAGGAAATATGGTACAGTCTACGCCTACTTCTACATATATACTTCTACACATGCACGGAACATATTCAAGTCACTATAAAAAAATCATGAAATAATATCTTAAATTTCATATCTGATATTTGAAAAATTATTTATTTGTAAAATTAATATTTCGATGTTAAATTTGATACATGCAGATGAAAAAAACATTGACAATTTTGATTGGTATCAGTTTCAAGACACTTCATGGGAAGATAACATAATGAATTCAAATGATAAGTCTCCAATTACAAATGATATGTCTCATGTATCAGTTTTCAGCTATTATTTGAATTCTCTAGTAAATAACTTAACATTTAAATATTTTTTATAACCAACAGTGCAATGCAGGACGTCATCACCATTCCAGAGACATCGATCACGGAAAGGACTTTCTTGTAGGTACATATTTTTCTCTACACAAACGATGTTCATTTCTATATATAATGTCACACAAAATAATCTCTCATCACCACATATCCTTAAATTGCATTAATCTAGAATCTGTATAACATGCACGCTAAGTTCGGTTCACATTCAACTTTTTTTTATGTAATCTGTTCTGACACTAAAAAGCTCTGAAAGGACCTAGCTACTGATATGATTGAAAATATTTTATTAGAAGCAATAAATATTTTCTTATGAAGCCAGTTTCAGAGTTTCTGTAAATTCTAATACAATAAAAGTGTCTGGAATATAACTCAAAAGTGAAAATTTCCATATGTGTCCCATAAAAGATGGATTTTTACACTTAAAAATAAAACTACAGCACTGTATTTTACCTATGTATGAAGTCAATAGTTTAAAATCAATTAAAAAACAGTCATTTAACAAAATGTGCCGTCAGTAGTGATATTCAAATTTCTCTACATAAAAACAACAATAAATCCCAATGATTTTATACAAAATATTTATAATTATAAGATAATTCATCTCTTTTCATCTGGCAATTTCAAAAGAGAAGCCACATATGCAATTAAATGATCAAACAGAAGATCAAAATATACAATACTACAAAACTATGAAAACTAAATATTGAATCTTGTCCTACCTAAACATATTAGAAACTAAACATACCAATTTCACATCTCAAGCAAAAAATGAATTTAAACAACTGAGTGATTTTGGATTTTCAATATGGCTGCCATTAACCTATATTGGTGTTTTTTAGACGAATGATTGACACACAAACCAGTTAAGACAGGATAAGATGACTTTCAGTCAGGCAAGCCTACATTTCAAACTAAATATTACATGTAATGTGCTTTTTACATGCTGAAACATATTCTACTGTTTTTCACATTTGTTGAATTTTGGAAGGCTAAAAATATTTTCTCCATGTTCTTACAAAGAGTAGTTATAGCTTTAGGTGTTGATGCATACATATATATATACTACCACCATCAAATCAAATCATGCAATGCTTACCTGCTATCATAATCGTTATCAAATTGATACTTAAATCAAGAATGCACAATATTCTCCATGCTTTGGACCAGCCTGGTCAATACAATGCTATGTTAAACAAAAAGTAAAGGCTTGTCAAAATGTTAGTACTGCAACAGCATGTCGGCTAGTATAAAACAGCATGTCGGCTAGTATAACACCATGCAGTAGATTATATAGGTGCGAGCTGGGTATAGCCACACAACGACTTTACCTTTCATTTTCTCGGTGAACTTTACTTATTGGATGACTACTGAAACGTAGAAATAGGACGGTGATGATAAAGTCTATGATTTGGCTGGTTGCAGTGTTGTTTAATGCCACACTCAGCAATATTCCAGCTATATGGCGGTGATCTGTAAATAATCTAGTCTGGGCCAGACAATCCAGTGATCAAGAGCATGAGCATCGATCTACACAATTGGGATACAATGATATGAGTTATAAAGTATAGGAAAATCTTTTACTTTAACAATTGTGGGGGAGATATATTAAAAAAATAATGCTGATAAGTGAGTAAATATTGCTTAAAACTGCATCAGCAATTTTGCAGCTATTTGCAGCAAGAAGATGATGATGATGATGATGATGATGATATTGATGATGATGATGATGATCTAATGATCTGAACAAAGCATTTGATCCAAAGGAGAAACATACATGCCAAAGTTCAGCTTCAAATATTTGTTGAAAATGGAACAAATGCTCGAAATAAAACCAGGGACCCGTTCCTCAAAGCGATTGTAGTGCTAAGGTGATCGTAACTCCCATACTTTAACATAGACTTACGACTATCGTAGTGCTATGATCGCTTTGAGGAACAGGGCCCTGGCCTCTGAGCAAGCCACCTTGTGTGGCATCAATTCCAGCTTACAATGTCAATCATGATTGTCTGATTTAAGCTCGGCTATTTACACAACTGCATCAGATAGAATACAGCTGACAAGACTGGCATTACACAATAAACAAACAAACAAAAGAGGAAATGTATCTTGAGAAATTTTAAGATGGTCAAACTAAATATCACAGAACATGTTTTGAGACCCAACACCTAACAAGTTTACATTTTTTAGGTGAGGTGAAATTGGGTTTTACATCGTGCTTGAGAATATTTCGCTGCATGTGTGTGTATGTGTATGTGTGGCTGCTTGTACTAGCCCAGACTGAAGCTGGTTTTATAGTGCTAGCCCACTGAGATACCATGCTGCAGTGAAGCATGAATACCCCACTCAGACACATTATACTGACTCCGAGCCGACCAGTCCTTGTTGTACCCATTAATGCCGAGCGCCAGGCAGGGACCAACAAGTACCAAATTTTAACATCTTTCGGTATGACGTGGTCGGGGATCAAACCCACGACCTTCCACTCTCCCGGGCGGACGTTCTAACCACTACACCATGGAGGCGGTCATTACATTTTGAACACAAATGATCGAGTAATGGACACAAACAACTTCAAACAGATCAAGTCACAGTTCCGTCTCCTGAACTAGCTGCCATGGCATTATTGGTAGGATAAATTGGTAAAGTTTAAGATTCGTTTGTTCAGTGGTTCCAAGAAGATGTTGCCGACACATGATGGGCAAGCAGACATATTTCTAATATGTGTATTTTGTTTTTGAGTACAGCTGTACTAACTGCTGTATGTTTTATGATCCATATTCAACGGGTTCCTTATAGAAAGCCACTCCAACAATCTCATAGTGTCTCATGTTGATTCACACCCACCTTCGGGGCAGTGGGTTAGAATTGTCATTAAAGCATTCCCTTGTTGTGCGTGAGACTCGGGTTTGATTCCCCACATGGGTACAACGTGTGAAGCCCATTTCTGGTGACCCCACCATGATATTGCTGGTATATTGCTGGAATGTTGCTAAAAGCAGCATTAACCTCTTCTCAACCACTCACTGTACCCAGCTTCACAAGTCTACACTACTGGTGGGATGTAATGGGACACCAAATCAGCAAGTCCCTCAGATAAAATATTGCAATTTTATCAAGTAGGAACTTAACAGGTACAAAATTCAAACAATCAATGTTTGTCTATCCTGAGAAAACAATCTTGATGTCTGCCAATCCACTTGACTGGCGAAACACAAGGTGTGTGATGTGTATGATCGTTAAACCAGGACAGGATTATCTTGCTTTGCCTCACAACATTCTGAAAGTTAGGTACGACATTTTTCATAGTTCTTGAAATGGCTTCTCCTGATTTGTTAGATGAGTTTGTCCTGACAGTTGTGCCAAAAACCTAGAACGCACTAATGCTTTCAACGGTATAGAAAACAACTCTGATTCTATCGCAACTAATAACTTACTGAATGCCAACTGGTGTATCGTAACTCATCTACCTACACCATGAAATACAAGGACGGTTCTGGAAGAAAGTGTGTCATGAAACAGAGGGATGGTTTTAGAAGATGGTGTGTCATGAAACAAAGAGATGGTTCTAGAAGATGGTGTGCCATGAAACAAAGAGATGGTTCTAGAAGATGGTGTGTCTAGAAGTGTCATGAAACAAAGGGATGGTTCTAGAAGATGGTGTGCCATGAAACAAAGAGATGGTTCTAAAAGACGGTGTGCCATGAAACAAAGAGATGGTTCTAGAAGATGGTGTACCATGAAACAGAGGGATGGTTCTAGAAGATGGTGTACCATGAAACAAAGAGATGGTTCTAAAAGACGGTGTGCCATGAAACAAAGAGATGGTTCTAGAAGATGGTGTGTCATGAAACAAAGGGATGGTTCTAGAAGATGGTGTGTCATGAAACAAAGGGATGGTTCTAAAAGATGGTGTACAATGAAACAAAGAGATGGTTCTAGAAGACAGTGTGTCATGAAACAGCAAGTCTAGAAATGTTTGAGTAATTGAGTAATATTCTACTACAGCTACCCTGAACAGTGATTGGTACTGTATGCAATGTCCCAAACTCAGTCCAGTCCACCATGAAATGCTATTTGCCCAGTCAAAACACTGGAGGACAAGCAGAATATACTGGTGACCCCCTGACATTGAACTGAAGCAGAGACATTGTCTGGCATTCATCCTGTTCTACCCTCCATAATGCCTACAATAAGTCAGGTCTAGGGGGCAGGATTTATAAGAGCTTAGATTTAGAAGTAAATATACACTGTTAAAAAAAATCATAAAAAGTTTCTTTTATAAAAAAACAGTATCATTCATAGAGCATGTTGGACATACTGCTGAAGAATTTTATTTTTCAAAACAAAATTTTAATCGGGGAATACTGACTGAAACTAGTGCATCTCAAACAAATAATAAATTCATTACATAGCCATAAGACACACATAGTGAGTGAGTGAGTTAAGATTTAAAGTCACATCGGCAATATTTCAGCCATATCGTGACAGACACACATAGACACAGACAGACAGAAATACAGACACAGGACACACACACAGAAATACAGACACACACACACACACACAGAAATACAGACACAGGACACACACACAGAAATACAGACACACACACACACACACAGAAATACAGACACAGGACACACACACAGAAATACAGACACAGGACACACACACAGAAATACAGACACAGGACACACACACAGAAATACAGACACAGGACACACACACAGAAATACAGACACACATACACACAGATGGACATACAGACCAAGACCCATACAAACAGACACACACACACACACACAAACACAGAGAAATACACACAGGCATTAATAGACAAACAACAGACACACACACACACCAGTATGGTAGTCCTTGATCTGACACGACCCATGTGTTAGATAATGAAATGGCAGACAGGCACTGACAGCCCCAGAAATAAAACCCTTCAACTGCTACACTGAAGGAATTATCCAGTTATCTGATATTTGTAGATTTTTCCACCCACCCGCTGGATCAACTTTGCAGGTCCAACCTAATTCAGCTGGAGGACTACGATGACACAGTCCCTTTCTTTTCTGTCAAAACTCACACCAATCAGAATCAATACTGCTATTTCGTCCTTAATTTCAATAAAATGAATCTGAAAATATTAATGCGGGGCATTAAGATGTCAGCTATGTTGTATTTATAGAAGCCAACAGTCATGACTGTTTGGTATGAATTAATTTTGACAATTTGAAATTAAATGAAATGACCTTTAAATTTTGAAAAGGTCAGAAAATACACGAACGTTTCTAAAAATGCCGAATAGACATTTCTCCTGTAATTATCTTCTATTAAGTTTAAAAAAATCATAAAATCATTAGTGTGTCGAGGTAGCAAATAGGGCCTGTAAATTATACAAGGTGACACCCAGTCTATCTCAAAGGCAATATGAAACTGCAAAGTAATAGTGGCAGACTAACGAGGTTTTGCTATGAATCAGTAGACTGGGTTTTCTCCACAAATAGAACCATACTCATATTTCGCTTAGATGATAAAAGAAATCCTTCTTTGATTCTAATATGGTAAAAATTGGAACACAGCTCAGAACTATCATCCCTTATGTTTTGAAGAAATACAACAGAAGCGTTTTTCTATGTTGGGTTTTTATCCATATTTTCTGTGTGATTACGTCAATGATGAAACACTGACGTCTGTGAGCAGAATTCCGCTGTTCCAAATACAATCAATTCCAGTATCGGAATCTCAGATTTTATTTGTAATATTTCAGCCTTGCAGGATTTATTGAAAATAGACTTAATTCAGGTATCAATTCCTTAATCTACGTCAATTGTGATCTTTGGATGGAAATGTATTTTCAACCACAGTATCCTGATTTGCAACACTCATATATCTCAGACTTTTTGCACACGTCACTCACCGCATGAACTTCAACAATCAACAAGAAGACAATGATAACAGCTTGATTGCATCAAGAAATTGACTCTTGTTCCCGTAAACCTTAATTCCTCTGTCTAACTTCGCCAATATTTCAACAGTGATGCCATGCTAATGATCAAGTTATGAATTCTGTCGACATACCACAATCCTTAGAGTATTTATATCGCATCGTGTCACCAAGATTAGATCGAGAGTGTCGATGTAAAACCCAAGAGGATTATATGCATTCGCATCACGTTCTTGGTGTCCCAGTTCATTGTGTGATCACTTGAGTCAAACGCTCTTCCTGTCTCAGTCGTTTTCATATATTTCATGAATATTTATACTTTCAACACAAGAGTAATGATGTATTCTCTGCTTGTAGCTCTCAAGCAGACACATTCTAATCCCAACTTGCAGCTCAAGTAGAAACCCTCTGATCCCAACTTATAGCTCAAACAGAAACCCTCTATTCATAACAAGTAGCTCTCAAGCAGAAACCCTCTATTCATAGCATGTAGCTCTCAAGCAGAAACCCTCTATTCATAGCATGTAGCTCTCAAGCAGAAACCATTTATTCCCAACTTGTAGCTCTCTATTTCCCAACTTGTAGCTTTTATGCAGAAACTCTCTGTTTCCCAACTTGTAGCTCTCAAGCAGAAACCCTCTATTTCCCAACTTGTAGCTCAAACAGAACCCTTCTATTCCCAACTTGTAGCTCAAACAGAACCCTTCTATTCCCAACTTGTAGCTCAAGCAGGACCCTTCTATTCCCAACTTGTAGCTCAAGCAGAAACCCTTCTACTCCCAACTTGTAGCTCAAGCAGAACCCTTCTATTCCCAACTTGTAGCTCAAGCAGGACCCTTCTATTCCCAACTTGTAACTCAAGCAGAACCCTTCTATTCCCAACTTGTAGCTCAAACAGGACCCTTCTTTTCCCAACTTGTAGCTCAAGCAGAACCCTTCTATTCCCAATTTGTAGGTCAAACAGGACCCTTCTCTTCCCAACTTGTAGCTCAAGCAGAACCCTTCTATTCCCAACTTGTAGCTCAAACAGAAATCTTCTATTCCCAAATTGTAGCTCAAACAGGACCCTTCTATTCCCAACTTGTAGCTCAAGCAGAACCCTTCTATTCCCAACTTGTAGCTCAAGCAGAAATCCTCTATTCCCAAATTGTAGCTCAAACAGAAACCCTCTATTCCCAACTTGTAGCTCAAACAGAAACCCTCTATTCCCAACTTGTAGCTCAAACAGAACCCCTCTATTCCCAACTTGTAGCTCAAGCAGGACCCTTCTATTTCCAACTTGTAGCTCAAGCAGAAATCCTCTATTCTCCTCCACCTGTTACACTGAGGGACATTCCTGTCCCATTGGAGTGTATTCTGGGAACACTGAGGCTTATTCAGCAAACTTAAAGGACTTGGGGCACGTTAAGATTTGATCATGTCACACTGAAGTGTATTGTCATCACAATTTTATTCTTATAATATTTGACCTTAGAAAAAAAAACTTGTTTATTAAATTAGATATAAAAAATCTTGGCTTACAAATGGGTACAAAGAAACAATGACATGTCTGGATATAAAGAATTCTGGATCTATACATAGATATAAGCAAAGCTGTGTATATGGATGGATATAAAGAAATCTGTACTTATTGGGGAAAAATACTGGCTTATCACTAGATATAAACAAAGTTATGTGTATAATTGGATATATACACATCTTGGTTTACAAAAGGATATGAACAAATTTGGGTATATATATAACTTGATATAAACAAAGCTGTTTTGTCATAGATTGTAGACATTTCTCAGCTACCAAATAGATATAAACAACTATGGGCTTATCTTAGGATATAAAGATACCTGAACTTATCTCAGGATTTAAAGAAATCTGGGTTTATCTTAGGATATAAACAAATCTGGGCTTATCTTAGGATATAAACAAATCTGGGCTTATAACAAGTTACCAACCAACCAAGTCAGGAACTAAACGTCAGATGCACATATTCTACTGAGTTACACAAGAACTGTCGTCTACAGAAATTCCAAAACACTCACAAACCAACAATGGCTGACTTTGGTGTGCACTCCGTGAAGGACACTGAAGAGGAATTAATTTTTGACTCCAGTGCAGCCGAACCTGTCTGGTGTAAATGAGATGTGACCAGTGCCAGGCAGTTCCCCCCTTCAAACCTCAAGGGGCCAGCATCCACACAGATTTCATTATCTCGCATTTGTCTTCTGCTGGCCCTGGATTAAATGTATTTACTCAACGCAACATTGCCCTGTTTAGGTCCTGAAGGAATCATAAGATGTGTCATCACATCACAACCACCTCAAACTAACACAACTCTACAATCAAGTTTTATGTATCAAATTCCATTACATGCTGAAATTCTTCACTTCAACATTGTAAAGACATTATGTTATTCAAAACTGAGTGGCACTGTACCCAGATTCTTTAACATTCCTTAGTCAAAGGGGCTGATGTGCAATATTGGGCAAACGGTTTCTAGAAGGTCTGGAAACAGACAAAATGTTGATTGTCAACAGGAGCTGAAATATAGAGGACAAAGATATAGAAAGTGATGAAAGGGTAAGATTGAACATACCTGTCTTTTGGAATCGGGACATTGGTGAGGGCCAGGTAATTGTTCCGGACACTCCGTAGACTTGCCAGAATCTGTGCAAACGGGGTGACGATGAGGTCTTCTGCATGCCTGGAAGTAGGAAACATGGAATTGCGACGTTTAGCTTTCTCCGGCGGACCTGACACAGATATTTTCCCATTTTTGCGGAAGTTTGGAGACAGGAATTGCAGTTTTTGCATCATCTGGACAATCGTATTAATGCACAGTTACACAAAATATAGGTTTATATTCCTTTTTCTGACGACTGCCAGAAGCAAGGCATTATGGGAACAAGGTTGACGATGGTTGTAGTACTTGTAGTAGTTTGTCAAGGCCGACCTCCCTTGCCTCTAGCACTGCTAGTAATCACCCTATGGAGCACACTACCGCTGACCACGATGCTGCTCCCTATTAAGATGGCTTTGGCGGGAAGTATCAGAGCATTTACGCACACTGAACCTCGATCAATATCTGGTTTGGATGTTCATGTGTCTAGGTCTCTCTCCTGGATGGTTTGAGCCAATTGTGTCTTTACGCCAATCACGACTTGTACTAATCCCTTCAAAGCTAAATTCCATCAAATTTCTTCACCGATTCACAAATCTGTTTCCCTCAGGAATCCATAACCGCAGAGTTATTGGCCAGAGTGGGCAAACAATTCTGTCCAAACTGTGAAGTGTTTAATTAGCAGAGACAGTCAAATCACATCGATATTTATATATTCCACACACAGTAGCATACACTCCAAGTGTACCTTACAGCCAGCCAATGTCATTCTCTGTCTGAATAGAAACTTGCTCAGACAAGCTGCCTCGATAATTCTCTCCTATACAGCCAATAGTCAAAGCCTACACACTGACGCACTTGCTTTCAAAAACTTTATTCACAAAGCAGAAGCCGACTGCATGAAAGCAACTATATTCCGCCTAAGCACACGTTTTGACACTCACGGATCCAAGTTTACGTCAAGGTTGGCAATATTCACAAGTCGGCCGAGATAAGCTACACTGATGAACTCTTCCAGGAATGTGCTGGCAAAAATCTACCGATGATCAGGAGCAGCAGCCACTTGAAAGAGATGCCCTCTATTGGAAGATCGTTAAAAATCTTTATTGAAAATCTACCTGGCAGTTATTCCTGCATACCTGGAGTAATTTAATACTCCGAGGAGAGGAGGCTGGTCCTGATTTGAAAATACATTGCATGAAGAATGTTCGTTCTACCTTAATTTGAGAAAGGGCTTTCTGAAGCATGAAGGAATTAGACGAGAAGTACACAAGTACGATTTTTACATCTTGGCTGCATCAGTTGGTTGCAAGAATCCAACATGTTGAACCTAACTTTGTAAAGAGGGATGGAGAAATGATTTCTCTTGGTAAGAAGAATGTAGAACAGGCAGGAAATGGCTCTAGAATTGTTGTAAAATACAGTAAGATTTACAAGCAAGTTATTTCCAACAGTTGTGTATCTACAGATAGAATACATTATTATCCTTAAATAACTGAAGTAACTTTTGGAGGGTGTACTGATAAAATTGTTAGCTTGTAGGTCATTTCAAAGTAGGTTTTAAGGACCAAGGTTGTTTGTTAGAGTGTTAATTAACTGGCTTAGTGGACAGGGTGTTAGCCTAGCTCTTCATCTCGGTTTGGATCTGTCTCTATAAGAGGTATCATTTTCTAGTTTTGAGATTAAAAGTTTTGCGTAGCTTAGCGTGTATCAATGGGAAAAGAATACTATAAGTTTTATTATAACATGAAAAACAGCTGTAATTAAGTTACTTGGTGAAAATTTTTTAAATGTGATTGAAACACATAATATTTCTGGACATTTTACTGCATATGTATGTTTTTCTTTGATAAGCATTTTTTCCCTGAATCTGAAATGTCAACAATGTGGCATTAGACTTAGTAAAATTTATTCATTAATAATTTGTAGTGTATTCACGATATTTATCAGAATATTTTCAATTTTTAAACATTTGAATTGAGAGAAATTGGGCTTTTTTAGTTTCAGAAACACTGTAATTTGTGTATTATCGATATAACCTGGATAGCCAATATTACCTGACACTCAAGTACCAATACTTCTTGACACTTGGCGAAAAATCAATTTTATCTGACTAAAACATACCTAGATTTCATACCTAGATGCCAGTGCTGACTACTGTAAGTTCATGTTAATTCATTAGAGGTGCAGTTGTCATACCACTAAGATCATTATATGAAAGAAAGTGTAATATTCCATAAAGTGATCACAACTAGAACTTCTGTTAGCCTATGTTAAAGACAGTGTTAAAAGCATGGGAATTTTTATCATCTTAGCGCTAAGATTACTCTGAGAATCAGCAGGTCCCTTTCCATAATATGATCATAACTACTGTAAGCCTATGCTAAGGACAATGTTAACAGTATGGACATTTTTATCATCTTAGCGCTAAGATCACTCAGAGAATCAGCAGGTCCATTTCCTTAAAGTGATCATAACTAGATGGACTGTAAGCCTATGCTAAAGACAATGTTAACAGCACGGACATTTTTATCATCTTAGCGCTAAGATCACTCAGAGAAACGGCAGGTCCATTTCCTTAAAGTGATCATAGCACTAGATGGAATGAAAGCCTATGTTACAGACTGTGTTAAAGTATGGAAATATTACCATCTTAGCGCTAAGGTCACCGTGAGAATCAGTGTCCCCCTTTCCATAATATGATCATGACACTAGAACTACTGTAATCCTATGTTACAGACTATGTTAAAGTATGGAAATATTGCCATCTTAGCGTTAAGGTCACCGTGAGAATCAGTGTGCCCCTTTCCATAATATGATCATGACACTAGAACTACTGTAATCCTATGTTACAGACTATGTTAAAGTATGGAAATATTACCATCTTAGCGCTAAGGTCACTGTGAGAATCAGTCCCATGCAGGCATGAAATGATTCTCTATGACTTCTCACATCTGGATGCAAATGTATTCAAAAAGCACAAGATGATGTTGACTTATTATCAACAGTTGATTTACTATAAAAACTTAAACTGTTTAACTACCTGAAATCTGTATAAAAAAGTTTAAATCAACAAAAAAATTGTTTTCTATTCAGTAATTCAAATCAAACGATACACAAACTGTATTTGTTAAGATCTAATTCTCACAGTCTGCATCACTATCGCCTCTGTAAATGATTTTGAGACACTAAATAGTTTTATCGACCCTGTCAAGAATTTAATAAAATCCATCTTCATATCATACCAGGGCATTAACCTGGGTGCTTTGGTTCCTATTAAAGAGCCAATCACGGCTGTGCATCTGTGCTGCTGGCGGCAGGAGATCGGGGAGAAGATAAGGAGGAAGCTGTATTGATTTCCCCCTGATCAATCAATAGGTTAACTATGTCCGTAACGCAGTGATGGAAGGGAGGTAACTCTGTGAGGTTTAGTAAAGAATGGAGCTACTGATATTTTACAGCAGCTTCCCTGACTAGACAATTAGCTATGTTGTAGAGAAGTATCATCCAAAAGTAGCTTTCACAGGAGATATTGGTGGGTGAGACTATCTCCACTGAGTGAGTGAGTGAGTGAGTGAGTGAGTGAGTGAGTGCGTGCGTGCGTGCGTGCGGCGTGCGTGCGTGCGTGCGTGCGTGAGTGAGTGAGTGAGTGAGTGAGTGAGTGAGTGAGTGAGTGAGTGAGTGAGTGAGTGAGTGAGTGAGTGCGTGCGTGAGTGAGTTTAAATTTCTACCACTTTCAGCAATATTCCAGCCATATAAAGTGGAGGACACCAGAAATGGGCTTCACATATTGTACTCATGTGATATTACTTCAATATTGCTAAAAGCATCAATAACCATACTCACTGAGTCAACTCATCCATCCTTTAGCCCCATATCACATTGACTTTATTCTCAACTAAGGCCATGTATAAAAATATTCTTGTTTCAAGATTTTTTTACTCAAGAGAAAATGCAACTTTGATTCTTAAAATAAGCATGAATTTTTCACACTTCAAAGTTTTGATTTTCTATCGGAGAAAATGTGTAAATTTCTACAGAAATCAAGGGGTAAAAATAAATGTAAAAATCAAATCCACCCGACCGACCCATTTTTTTTTTAAAAAGTGATGAGAAACAGGAATATTATTTTATGTGGCCTAACCAGTGTGAGATATTTAGATACTATATTACAACCTACCCAAGCCTATCTGCCTAAATATCTTCATTTCAGAAATAATGTCTCACCCTCCATCTTTCCTACCAGTACCTATCTCCAAGGTTCTCTCGCCCATCAGCATAAAATCAATAACCAATCAATTTAGCAATGAATTACATCACAGTATAATGGTTTTGTCAGATCTAGCACTTGATATATTAAACTGGATTAGCAGGGTATATAGCATATCAGTCTGTACATAAAACATCCTGGATAACAGGGATGGACTTTGTTACCATGGTTTCTCACTAATAAATGCAACATTCCTAAAGTTGTAACTTATACACTTTAACTCGAAATTATTTTTAATGATATCTGAACAAACTGAAACCATTGTTCTTAACCAGACACAGAAATAACCTTAAAATAACCAATGCTGTAGTTAATATTACTTGGAATCAGTATTTACAATTAACAAGCTGTTCTGATAATTTTGCAAGTAGCTAATAATACCTACAGGTAAAAGTCACATTTATTATGCATTGTAAAACTATTTCTAAGTTAGATTTCAAGTGTAAATATATAAATAAACAATATCATTCAAATAATAAACAAATACCAGTTTATACATCCTGTCCTCAATATTCTAGAATTTCATTTGAATTTATTTAATGTCATATCCCGGTGTCAGGAGTTTTCGATGATGTAAGACAAAAATGTATTATTTATCTTAATATCATTTAAAGTTTTTAAAGACACATTATACTGACTCCAAGCCGACCAATCCTTGTTGTACCCATTAATGCCGAGAGCCAGGCAGGGACCAGCAAGTACCATATTTTAACGTCTTTTGGTATGACGCGGTGGGGGATCGAACCCACGACCTTCCGCTCTCCAGGCGGACGCTCTAAACACTACACCACGGTGGCGGTCAGTGAATATAAAA